CGCAACCCGTGTTCCAGAAAAACTCATGGTATGAAATTTAAACTTGGGTGAGTTTACATGTTATTTATATTACTTATAATATTTACATGATTTTACGCTACGTTTATTTTGGGTGTAATTTGCGGTTGTCTATGTGTGTGTCCATGGCACCCGCGATACAGGGTTTCCCTAGTGCTCCTATGAGCGTGTACACAATGTAAACAATACAAACGAAAATAAACTAAACGACAATGATTCTTGGAGTAGTTTCAAGACAGCTAAATGACACGGCCTAAACAGCAATTGAAAGGCGAACGTCAGTACAGTGCATCCATTACGACGGCAACGGCTCTTCACTATCTGCCTATTGGCGTGTACAGAATTCCGGAGTAAAGGAAACAAGGTCGCTGCAAGCCGCGGCTGATATAGCGAGTTTAGATTGTGCGTGGGAAATGTTCAATGTTTATAAACTTGAATAAATGCAGGACACAAGACATATCTGTAGGTAGTACTGACCAGAATTGAGGAAATTTCTTTAACTAAACTAAATAATTATGTGGACATTCCCTTCTATACATCCCTGGATGTCTCGGAACTTTATTAAAATAAGTAATTTTTTTCTGTTATATCAAGTGGCGGGACGAACAAGTCGTGCGCCTGATGGTAAACGACACGCCTGTTAATAACAGTTGCAGTGCCACTCACAGTTTTGAAGCGCAAAGATCTGAGGTGCACTGCCCCTGCGCCCATCACCCTGTGCCATTAAGTTGAAAAGTCCCGAGTAATTTGTAATTGTATGAAATGTCACCAGCACCCTTATTAATAATTTAGCCATTTAATAAACATACGTGAAACAACCTATATTTTGAAATGTTTAGAAAATGAACAGTAAAAAACGCATTGATGACGAAATGGGTATATTATATTATGGGTATATATTAAGAAAACGTTCATAATTTAGGAAAATTAATTCCCTCAATTCCGGTCACTGACAGGTGCACGTCTAGGGGCAATCCATTTTCGTTGTTATCAACGTAAATACTATTGCATATGTTAACGAATTTTACACCGCATTATTATTCTTATCTCTGTATAACTCGTTTGAGCTACATCTATTTCATAACTCGAACGGATTACATAAGTTTCCATGAATCACTACGAATCGTCATCTAGTCAGCCGGTCATAGAATTTTTTGTACTGAATTTTAAGTGGAATTCCTTTCGTCACGCCGAGAAACTTATAGACTAAAGGCCCATTTAGATGGGGAGAGTTTCTCGCACGCTTCGAGACGAAAACTCGTAGGCGATTCTCGTAAGCAATAATCGCCATAAGATTATCGTATCATAATGTTTACATTCAGGCAAGAACTAAAATCTCGCCTACGATTATGTCATACGAGACTCGTAAGCAACTTAATCGCCTCCTCGACTGTTTACACGGAGAAATATGTAGTAAGGAGATTCTTGCTTACGAGTTTTCGACTTGTCTAAACACGATCTCGTATGACATTTTTTCAAGTTCATACGATTATCGTACAAATCGGGTCGAACCGTTTTGAGTGCGAGAATTGCCATTCGAGTTCAGTGATTACTGCGGTATTGACTATGGATATATCGAAATGACGCAAAAATCATTCAAATTTGGAACTGCTGATCATATTAACTTCATTGCACTGTATAGAAATATAATTTTGATTTATCATTTTTTTTTAAATTATATAACTACTGACACAAACAAAACTGACAATTATGATAAATTTATAGGGCCAGTGAGTGCGTGTGTGAGTGCGTGAGTGACTGAGTGAGTGAGTGAGTGCGTGCGTGCGTGCGTGCGCGCGGGCGTGCGTACGTGCGTGCGTGAGTGGTGAGTGAGTGAGTGAGTGATGAGTGAGTGAGTGAGGGGTGAGTGAGTCAGTGAGTGGTAAGTGAGTGAGTGTGTGAGTGGTTAGTGAGTGAGTGAGTTGTGAGTGAGTGGGTGAGTGAGTGAGTGAGTGAGTGGTGAGTGAGTAAGTGAGTGAGTAGTGAGTGAGTGAGTGAGTAGGGAGTGAGTGGGGAGTTAGTAAGGAGTGTTTATTGAAAAGTACATTTACTTGAAAAGTCGTGTCGGCCATCTTGGATTTAGAAATAAATGCTATGTTCGTAATGAGCACCCCCAAATACCTCAAAAACGATACCCAACTTGCCATTATTTGAAAAGTGCGGGCACGACTTTTCATCCTGGATTTAGAAAGGAGTGCCATATTCGTTACGAGAGCACCCTAAATACTATATTGCCCACGCTATATTCGACCACAGAGGCACTCACTCACTCACCGTTATTTGAAATTTTTTTTTCGCTCTTGTTCCATTAATTCTTGTCTTAGAAAAGCAGTGATAATCAAAACACCCTCGCGCGCTGCACTCGTGGTAGAAACGGCTGGCACAGAAACTCGAAATACGATTTTTGCTTTCGAGTTCTGTTTACACGGAGACGTTATATTGAAAGGCGAGGAGATTATCGCTCACGTGGACGGTCGATAATCGCAAATGTTTAGACGAGGAAAGTTTTTTTATATTCTTTCGATAATCGTATGTTCGAGACGAGAAACTCTCTCCATCTAAATGGGCCTTAATTATCTTACGAGACAAATTACGTGCGATAATTAAAATGTCTTATTCGATTCCATCAATCGTTTCCAGCAAATATAGCGGTTTGAATGTCTTTAGGTACACGCTAGCAGTGGTTGTGTTGTTATGAATCATACTTGTTTGTTTATTAGCACAATTGACTACGAGCGCAAAAATACATTATACTCGTAGGTAAATATGCATGTTTAAGCGACCATAACGTGTAACATTGATAGTCTGAAGAATTGAAATGATTCTCATAGTCACATCTAAATGCATGTAATAGAAGCCTGGCCTCAGTAGCGTACCTTGAGGTACACCTAAGGCGTTATATTAATCCGCTTGTATTTAATATGCCTAAATCCATCTTCTGTGAATCCATTTGCAATGGTAATTAACATTAAAGTTTCTAAATTACAAAAACGATTATTACATATAGAGAAACGGGTAATACTGCGGTATCTAGCCGACCGAGAAATGTGCCAGTATATCTCTACCCGCACGCGGGTTGATAACCTTTTCATTATTCAAGCGAGATAATAAAAATATCACTAGTTTTTCAACGGGTATACGTATCTAATTATGGATGCCTACAATATTAGGTGGAATATTGTATTTTGAAGAATCTACCTGTTCTCCTTTACGCTTTTTTAGTATGTTTTGTAATTAATGGGGTATGTATAACGCAATATTAAAATCTATCCAGATGCAAATGCGGACATAATTAATGATCAAAACTTATACAAACCAATATTATATATACGTTCCACTGTTGGAAACGGGCCTCCTCTAAAGAGATGTTTTAAACCATAGTCCACCACACTCGCTGGCCCAATTCAGGTTGGCGAATACCCACGTTTTTAAAAGTTTGTGATCCGTCTCTGACGTGCGTGTCTTCGGAAAGTTACTGCTACTAAACATTAAACATTCACTATTGTACACAAGATCGAATCGTAGATCTCTAAAAGCTGTTCAATGGAGTAGCCCAGTGGGGCTACTATCGCCTCTAACCAATATAGGTACAACGCACAAATGATAGTTTTCATTCATATTTATTCCAAAAATGTTCAGGCGATGTTTCAAACTTAAATAATTTTTAAACAGTAAATCATGAAGAGGACAAAATATTTCTGATTTTATAACACTGAAAATCAAGACCCATGATGTATATGCTTTTTAAAGTACATACATTAAGACTTCCTGAAAATAAATATCTATGAATAAACCAACCTTGTTAACACCTATTATATTATAGAAGTAGCCACGGTCGTGACACAATCGAAAAACTAAATGCAGTAATGTATTAAGTAGTCCACTGAAAATCGACGTCACAGACTTCACTGGGCTGAGACATTAGCTGAGTAGATTGTTTTACATACGCCACAGCCTAGTTACATATGTTACATATGACATTTTTCAAATTGACTGTTTTAAAATTTGATTACGTGTGCTTCGTAGCTTTTTTTTGTTTTACTTTTGCTTTGTCTTATTTTTATTTCATTCTGTATATTTTTGTGTTGTGGCGTAGTAATAAATGAATCCTATTCTACTCTAAGTCAACACAACTTTGAACCGTTTTTAAGTATCATAAGGTTGAATTTTAATTTTGGGTGTACAACTTTTATTTGTTTGTGTTAAAAAAATTTTCGCCGTAAAATCCACGTGCGTTAAAACTCGAGCTTTATTAAGCTACGTCCACATTATAACTTCCTGTTTTAAGTGACGTCTATACATAGGTAACTCCGAGTTGACTTAATATGTAAATACATAATATAAAAGGTCACTGCGGGTTGCACGTGTTTCGGTGGTCTCCGACAAGTTCAAATGATAAATCATTATGATTTTGATAGCAACACATCGCCGGAAAACCGGCTTTTGTATTGCAAGTTATATGATAAATATGTTTTTGACGCTTTGGAATTCCACGAAGCAGAGTAGTAAACAGTTTAAAATAATATTTTATTTTAATAATATTTTAATTATAACTTTTTATTTTAAAAAAACCAACTTCAAAAGTTTTCTTAGCGGCTTTTTTATTTGAATTACATCTATCTGTCAAGTTTTATTGAAATTCGAATCTGGATTCATCCCCTAGTTTGTCACCTTTAGAGGTGTAATATTTTTTCAAATTTAAATGGGACCAATAAAGAGGTACCCTCTTTTCAACAAAAAAAATCATCAAAATCGGTCCACTAATGACCGGATTAATCCCGTTACATAAAAAAAAACAGGGTAGAATTGAAATTTCTTCTCCTTTTTTGAAGTCGGTTAAAAATACTGTAGATCGTAAATCGTCGCAATCCTAACAAGTTCTAGAGAGTGTTAATACCCTTCTCTAAAGTGAATTGTGGTCTACCGCCGCACCCATTCTATAACGAGGAACGGATTGCGGGTGGAGGTGCAGGTGTACTCACCGAAGCGCCCTGCTGGCGGGCTGCTCGACGATCCTGACGAAAGGCCCGCCCTGCACAGGCGCCGGCCGCGCCATGACCTCCTCTAGCACCGCGCCGCCCGCGTCTCCCGCGAGCACCACGCCGCCGTACGACGGGTCCGCCTGCTCGATGGCTTCCACTGCACAAACACGTCTTTATCAGTACAATATTTTAGTATGCCCAACATCTCTGACAAGACATGCGAAACCTCCAACAAGTGCCGAAGTTTTCTAGTTGTCAATATCTCAATATGTTTACAAGTAAGGCAAGGGTAGAGATCGCTCAGTTGAAACTTTGCAAGCTAATTAACAGTTTTGTATCCATTTCAGACAGAAAAGAAAAAAGTGTCATACATTGAAATATGTGATATTTTTTGTAATTTAATGTTGTTTTATTTATGTAACGCGATAGATGTATTTTTATTATGTATATTCTGTACGTTCGTGCTTAATTACCTTATATTAATATCTTTAAATGTTAGTGGCGTGAATTTACCCTAGTTATTGACTACTTGAAGGGCATCGCGAAGTGGCACTCGATGTCCTCGGTCGTTGATTCGTACAACCGTAGGTGTTTTATCCTCAATTTGTAATCTTTTGTACATAACTTAGCTAATTTTATAGTTATTGAACATCTATTATATTGCGATATAAGTTGTTTGTACTCTCAAAAATAAATAGTCATTTACACCCTATAAAAGTACGTCTCTAAAGAAAGTACGTTACTGTTTGTAGGATCCCAGTGTTCTTTTTTCTATCAAATGATGTATAAAATATTTATGGATCGACTGGGAAACCTCAAAATGGGTAGCTACCAGTAGGGCGAGCATGACAATGCGCTACTTTATAGATAAAGTTATTATATCATCAATTGGATTATTATATCAATCGGAATCTTGTTATAGAAGCGTATACATAGCCCCTTAAATGAATGCGTGACTTTGTGAAGACGACTATCAAGAACAGCTAGTTTATTTTTATTCCTCGTATTAATGTTATGTCTGTCACTATTCTTCATAAAGAGATTACTATTCCTCTTAACATAAATTACATTTTCATAAATGTACTGTGACGCTAGTGTAAGAATATAAATTTCCTTAAACTTATCTCTCAAAGATACTCTGGGGTCCAGATTGTAAATTGCCCTAACCGCACGTTTCTACAGGACAAAGATTCTATTAATATCGGCGGCATTACCCCAAAGCAAAATGCCGTATGTCATTAGACTGTGAAAGTAGCTGAAGTAAACCAATCTAGCGGTTTCGACGTCTGAAAGTTTCCGTATTTCTTTAATCGCGTACACTGCAGAGCTGAGCCGTTTTGATAACTTACTTATATGGGGACCCCATTGCAATTTAGCATCTAACGTTATACCTAGAAATACAACTGTATCCACAAAATTCAATTTTTCGTTTCTAACTACAATGTTTGTAACCGTCTCTCTAACATTGCGTAAGTAAATTTCACCAATCCCTCCATGAGGCTAAATAAGTCATTAATATAAACTAAAAACAAAAATCGATCGGAAACAAAATCGAGTTATATGGACGCCTCGCCACTGATACAGAGAGACCTGGGGGTCTACTCTCCGTCGTATCTCCGTCGGACATCCGTCCGAAGCAATTACTGTCAAATAAGTACTATTCGACAAAATTAAAAGACAAGTATCCAGTATGAAGCTTCATTCGCATCACGAGTCTTTTCATTTGGTCAAGCATTATTTGGCAGTAATTGTTCGAATAAGATCGAATGACCCCCTGATGCGAGTGGAGGAGGCAAAAGAGGTTCGTCAGGAGCGTAGCAAGTGGACGTTAATGGTCTCTGCCTACCCCAGTGGGAGACTGGCGTGATGGTATATACGAATGAAATTTAAATTTCATAAATTAATTTCAATGACGTTGGAAATATTCACGCCCTTATTGTGTATACAATAACCTATTCAATTCATTATTGTTCAATAAGTGATTTAACAGGTGTGGGAACAACTCAGGACATTGTGTTTTAACATTGTGACATTCATTCAAGAATTGTCGGTAACGACAGATAAAATTATAGACAGTGCCGTGCTGACCTTTTACGTATTCAACTCACAGAAATCTAAATAGTGCCTATTCATTTAGATGTCTGTAATTCAACTCCATAAAGAACCTACACTTAATATGTTTCTTTATATACAGAGTGTAACATCAAAAATTATTATTTCGTTTGGCTGGAGATCGCGGTTAAAATAAGTACTGCTAAAAAATTATTTTTCAGTTTGTACATGTGGTCAAGAGCACAAGAAATCAGACCCTACGTAATTTGCATTAAAAACTGTCCAAAGTGTCAAGCTTAGTGTTGCCAACTAGACTAAAGCAAATCTCGGTTTAAAAGTGGCTAGGTGTCGCAAAAACTGTATTTCCACGCTGAAAAATTCACTCTCACCTTACGTATAAGGTTCATTTAATTAACAAGAACTTTGTAGTCATAGCGCAGAGAAATGAATGAATAAATTATATAATCTTTTAGAGAATAGACCAATACATCTCATAAAAACGTATCACATTAAGTATAATCGCACCCTTCATGGAAGAATGGCAAAAGTGAAGTTTCGTCAAAAATGTTTATTGCTTCTTTGGACACAGAATAAACCCACATCCTCTCCAATTCTTGTAACTCAACGACAATGTTACTCGACAGAGTTACTAGAATTGAAGAGGATGTGGGTTATATTTTTCTGTATCTAATGGAGCAATAGACTTTTTTGACGTAACTTCACTTACGCCATTCTTCCATGAGAGATGTGATATCACATTGATTGTTAAAAGATGAAAACGAATTAAATAGGCGCCAAAAAAGTGGCGAAATAGAAATAAAATGTCTCATATAATGTCAAAATGTCACTCAAGTCTAGTGACAAAGTCACTAAGTTAGCAACACTGGACGTGCTCTTGACTATGCAAAATTTCCTATTAACCTCGCCTATTTTGTATAAGAAAACTATCCCTAAAGTTGTTTAATATAACAACGCGAATGTTCTGCACAAGTCGTCCTATTATACATTATACGAACAAAACCCAATGTAAGACCGCGATTGAATCTAGCTACAGTTCAAAATATGCAAACCCGAAAATTCTTTGCGCTCTCCTAATATGATCGAAGGTTGCGCTGATTAATTTGCCTAATGTTCTAACTATCATGACGTTATGACGTCAGCGTTAGTTAGTGAGGGGCGTAATATGTTCTCACCTTGTGGCTACACCATATTTTTACGTAACGCTTACTGTGCGATACACATTTGCGGTGAACCTTAGTTGCAACTGTGATTCACAATTTAGTTAGCTCCTTGTGAAAGAGTTGCGTCCAGAGAAAACTGCAAACGAACCTACTTTTGCCGCTAAGCAGAAATGTGATACTCATAAAAAAAGAACGCGTAATAGTTTACTTAGCAAATGTTAGTTCTATAATAATTCAGGTTATTTCGTGAACTTATGACAATAAAAAAATAAATAATACATCAGGGCTTTATTCAAACAACATAAACCACAAACAATTATAGAAAAGAACATAATATTGAAAAAAATTAATAGGAAATGTAATAATGTGCATCAAGTACGTTGCTGCATGGCCTGGATATTCTGCCAAACCCGACACGAAGTTAAATAGACAATCGATAATTACCCTATCGATTTCTATAGAAAGGCACAAACATCATGAATGATTGCAATATTAAGTAATATAACAAATTATTGATGAACCACGAAACCAATAAAAAAGACCTTGATGCGATAATTATGCAAAAAATATATAAGTACGTCTAATAACTAGTATAATGACAGCGTACACAAAAAACCAATATACTCCTTGGAAAGAAGATAATTATGCAGGAAAATGTTGAACGATTTCTTGTTACTTTGGAATATGATTGATATTTCGTCAATGTCAATCATGTCACATTTTTTTACGAATTACCAAGTCTTTCAATTCCCTGATTAATTAACACGAGTGAAGAGAGATAAATCGTCACAGCTTTTCAAACGGAAACGATGAATAAAAACAACTGCTCATCCCTTAATGATTTCTAACGTTCAGTAGTGACTGAGTGTTGGGTGTAGTAGAAAAACCCGTGAGAATTGGGAGAATGCTGGATAAATGAGAGCTTCGCGCAGTATTTGCGATTAACAGTGTTAGTAACTGAGCGTTGTGTGAAAGATGATGTAGGGACCAGTAGGGCTAGCACGACAAGGTGTGACTTGCGCGAGAGCGACATAAAGAGCGAGATAGCATTATCCCGCGCTGTATGTCGCTCTCGCGCTAATCGCGCCCTGTCGTACTTAGCCCTTCAGGATAGAAAAGGAAATGCGTATAGAGCGATGCTAAGTGAGGACAAGTACACCTCCACGGATATATACTATCTCGATCGGATTGGAGAGACCCTTAAAAAGGCCAGGTTAAATGCACCAATTTCTTCTTTGCCATGAATAAACGCGCTGGTATGACGAGACTGATGCGAGTGGTGGTGGCAAAAGAGGTTTGTTAGAAGTGAAACAAGTGGAAGTTCATGGTTTCTATCTAACCTTGTGGAAGGGATGCGTGACGGTATGTACGTACTTACTGATTATTGTGCTAAGGTTTTTGCAAAACAAAACACGAACTTACGAACATCACTAAAGTTCAGGGGGGCGTCTGCTTCACCGTCGTTCTGGTCTAGCACACCGGGGGACAGACCGCCATCTGTAAATAAATCACTCATGCAGTATACGGAATGTATTTCATTAATAATATCACAGAAGGTAGATGCCATATTATTTTAAGTTAAAAATACTAACACGTTAATGGCGATAGTTTTTTAATGTGATGTAACATAATTAGTACCTCATATTAATTACGTTGGTGATTAATAAGTTGATAAATTAGTACAATGTTTATAACAAAATCGATCTAACTTTCAGTTCATATATTGTCGTCGTCAACCTATTATGTTCCACTGCTGGGCACGAGTTTTCTCAAAAGGGAGAATGAGACCCTTGTTCGATGTGCAGGTTTCATCGCGATGTTTTCCTACACGGTCAACGAGAGGTTTTGCAACTGAATGCTCACAAAGTCACAGGTATATGCTGCCACAGGGATTCGAACCGTCTAACTCTCAATTCAGAAGCAACCGTTCTCCCGCTAGGCTACCACTGCTCATTCGAATAATTATATCAATAAATTACGCTAATTTAAATGGAACTATTGAATTACATCGTAGCATTTATGTAAAACCAACCCCTCTCAAATGCAAAGAACCTATGAAATGTTATAAAGCTTTTCTTTTTAATCAAAGAACTCTGATAAATTCAAGTTACATTTTAAGTTTCATTCCAAATTTCGGTGATGAATGGGCGTTAAAGTAATAATAATAATAATAATAATAATATTTATTCAAAGAAAGAAAGAAACAGTAACAAGTTTATAACAAAGACAGAAAAACTTAAATAACATTGTTTCAAACTTATAGGTTGCTATTTTCCCTGACTCTCAAAATAGGGTGAACCTGTGACATGAGAGCCAGTATTCAAAGTCAAACAACTAAGTGTACAAGACGAATTTAAAACAAAAATTTCTAAAAGTTTTGGTTCTTTTTAAGTATACGTAAAAATCTGTTTTTTGGGCAAATGTGTAAAATAGTAATATAAAATTTTGCGAAAATGCATGAAAAATGAACCCAACTACATAAATAAATCATTTTTGATAAAAATTGGCATAACGACCTTCCTTCTCTGAAGTATCGAACGTCGGAGTTTAGAGGTAGGCACTAAAACTCTGAGATGGGATTCGAGATCAAAAATGTGAACAAACAACTGTCAATGTCAAAATGACGTCTCCTAGCTCTTAGAACATTTTTTTCAGGTTCGTTAATTAACAAGATATTGCGAGCTTGATATTACGAGTAAAAGTCATTGTGGGGTCCCCCCCACACAAAAGCCCTTGTGGGTTACATACAATACTACATTACGAATACGAGTGCACTCAACAACAAACATGCGTGCTGCAAAGTGCAACAAAATGTAAAAAAATATGATGGCGGAAGCAAAATGTCGTAGTCACTAATTATTAGTCAGAAACTCAAGATTTTAACTATTCTGGTCACATTAGAGCCCAATGGCTGAAGTCTCATAATATGGCGGATTTATTAAGCCGACTATATCTGCCTGTATAATAATATGTATGTAGTTCAACATAATCGTTATAGTTAATTATTTCAATGAGGTGCAATAGTTGAACTGAAAATCAATTAGAGTCGTAATTTTCCGGTAATTTCAAATTCATTAAAAACAAATTATTATGATTCAAAAGATACTGGCCGTATTTCCACGCATTTTGCACACTGAATTCCACATTGTGAACCGCCTTATCTAAATAGCATAGAGTTCACTTTTAATCTCAAGTGCACCTAACGGTTAAACAAGCAATTGATAAAGGGGATGTTAGGGATTAAAAGAAAACAAATGTACTTAAAGTGAGGTAGCAAGTGGTCAACCACATAGCAACTTTTAAATTCACTCATACAATCGTATTATTTTTAGTTCCTGCTAACCGCTAACTCCTTCGACCCCTATTTATTACACTTATTAACCCCAACGTACGTACTACTCCTTGGATACCGTGACGTACAATAATAAAATTCACGATAGGAGTTTATCGTGAATTTTATTATTTCCCAAATAGAAACCATAGTAAAAGTTTCAATGTTTCTTTATTATATTATCTATATTATATTTCCTTAACTCCGGCCAAACACTTCACAAAGACGCTATATTTATAAATTAGTACAATGGCTAGAACAAGATCCTAGAAGGTTAAAATCCGGTTTAAATAGCTATCGTGTCATCTACACGAGAAAGTTGGATTCCAGCCAAACAAAGATAAATCATTGACAGCCGTGCGAAATGGATCGTCTGAGTTAAAGGTGCCTGATGACAACGTGTATTATATTATAGAATATTGTAGTTATTTTCCCAAACAAATCGGTTCTGCTCGTTCGTCGTAAGAAGATTAAAAAGTAGACCAAATTGTAGCTTTCGGGAAACCCAACAGTGTATTCCATTTCCTTGTCATTAAAGTTGTTTGGGTTCAAGATAAGTAAAGTTTTATTAAATTATTTCGAAACACTGCATATTAAATAACATTTTTCAAGCTCGATCGATTATGATGTTATAAGAAGTCCGATAATATTGAAGGTACGGTTATGCAACCCACAGACGTCACAGACAGACGGCTCGATGGGCGCAACCCGAACGGTTTCTTTGACGTCATCGTGTCTGTTAAACATTCTTTTACAAACGTAACGGGTTTGTCTTCGAAAATATCAATTCGCCAGTTTTAAAACATGGTTTTCCTTCCTGTAGTCAATAATACAAAATCCCCATAAACAATTGTTGCGTCATAGTACAACCATCGTGCATCGGTACGCCTACAATCTGATGTTTGTGTAAACGTTTCGGAAAAATAAAAGCCTAGACAGGTACTATACAATAAATGTACACACTTGTAGATTTATAGTGGCTAGTTAAATATTATGCATGAAGAGTTTACAAATTCAAACACAAAAATTTACTTGAAACCGTGATTTGGTTGGCTAGACCTCCTAGAGGCGCAAAAAAAAAATCGCTGTATTGTCATAATGATATAATTAATTATACATGTTTACCATATGAATGCAATAAATATATTGAGTATAGACTTAGTACTATATCGAAGTGGTAGGTGGGGGAATTTTTACGTATTTAGTGTATTAAGACCTTTCGTACATACAGTCATGAATGAAGGGGACATTTGTCATAGGCAGCACGAAAGTAGCGTGACTCAACCTTAAATATAACCTAACATAATGTATGCTTTCGTACGAATGGATCTATTTTAAGGGAAAGGGTTCAATGTTATATCCCTTTTGAATAATAAGTTAGGTCACAGGAAACTTGTCTCCCCTTTTATGTTGCTAGGGGCCTGATTTTGTTTGGGTTGCCGTGTTTTTGCAACTTACGTACTGCATTACGTGTACTCATGTAACTTTGCCGAATAGATATAAATTTTATGGCACAATAGTATGTTATTAAATTAGTGATGAAAAAGACTCAGTCTTTTAAGGCCTTTTAAAAAACCTCGACTAATTGTCAACGCCTTACGACTAGTCTACTCTTTTAACCCTCAAGTCTTAAGTCATAAGACTAAAACTGAAGATTGATTCGAGTCGAAGGCTTTTAACCCTAGGAAGCTTAAAAGACTTATAGGTCTAAAAAGACTAAAACGACTGGCGCCTCATAGCCTCGGGAGTCGCGAGTCATGAGCCGTATGGCGTGATTTTATTTCTACCCGCAAGTTATTTATTTTACGTTTTTTTTAAGTAAATAAACGTGATTATTTACTAAATACTACTTATGTCCTAAAGTCCTTTTCAAATAACTCGAGTCGTTTAAGTCTTACAAGTCGTTTAAATCTTTTGAATCTTTTAGTATAACGACTGAGTCTTATTAATAAAACCTCGAACCCTCAGTCTTCATTTTAGAGTCGACTCCTGTAAAATGGAGTCGAGTCATTATAAAACGCCTTAAAAGACTGAGTCTCTGATAACTATATTAAACGCGACCAAATGTACTCATATTAAGTTTATACAAAAAATATCAGTTTTAGTCAACAGAATGCAAGATTTTGATGTTCTAATAGAGAGCAAGTTAAGGTTTTCTGCACACAATGTATGAAGACATAGAAGAATAAGTCAAGGAGTCATGGAAGATAGGGTTCGTAAAGCGTAATAATTATTAGTTTTTTCGATATAATATATATAAAACGCACACACTCATAACCACACGCATAAACAACTATAAATTACATCCAAATTATTTCTGCCGGCCCGGGAATCGAACCCGAGATCTCTGCGTGGCAGTCCAGCATGGGAACCGTTCGGCCACAGAGGCAGTTTGCAGACGCGATATTTCTAATATGTAACTCTATTTTGGAATCTAATTCAAGTATCAATTTCATGTAATTACGGTATAATGCGCACATGCTACATTTCATAATTATCATCTACATTCCGACTTCAGCCGCTGCTCGGTATAGGGCCTTCCGTAGTTTGTGCCATTCTCCATGATCTTGCGCTAGTCTCATCCACCAACGGCCAGCAATTTTGCACAACGTAGCACGTTTCTGTTAGCCACCCTTCTTTTAAAGCTTTTTTACCAGGGATATTTATTTTCTTTTATAATGATCATGATAATTATCATGCTGATTCATAGATTTATCTCTATAATTATTGGATAAAACTGACAGTCAGAAAACCAAAATAAACCCGAAGAAGAATGTTTGGGAAAACGATTTGGTTTGTAACTTTTTGAGATTGACATTTGACACGTTTCGATACGTGTTTCATACAAAAACACATGTAAAGACATTGCTAGCGGTAGCATTTTGTTATTCCAAGTGATAATGATCACTTTTAACACTGCTTTATTCCACCTGTCATCCATTTCAAGTTATACCCAGGCAAACTTTTGACCGTAACGTTTCTCTACAAAGTTTTTCATACCTACTCAGTCGACACGTTCTGAATAATATTTCAGATTGACGACACCCACGTTGTTAGATAAATTCTGTTTCCGTATCTCGTACTAATAATGTGAATCATGAGAACTTTCGACGCCGACGTTAACTCAGACGAAGTTGACACATTTCACAACTCGTATAATTAATTG